CTCTTCCATCAATAAAATATACAATTACATACCTATCAATTATACAATAATTAGTGCATAAAAAATTTAAATAACCTGTTAGTGGGTCATATAGTTTTTCCCAACCACTGCAACATTAATAAATTATCATACTAACTATCCCAAAAAGCATTTTATTGTTCAATTTATGTCCAACAATCTCTTTCTGCCTGTTCAGAATTTTTTTTTAGCCAAAATTTTGCTAACAGAGTGTCTGGATGAATACCATCTTTATAAAGTTTAAAATTATAGTATTTTTTTTTTCTTTAGTTTTCTATTTTTACCACAACGATATTTATCAGTGGCACTTAAGTCTGAAGAAAACTGGGGGGAGTATACTCCTTGACTTTTATTCATTTCTCTTATTTTATTATTTAACATATAAATTTGTTCTCCTAATTTTTCATCTTCAATATCAAAAAGGTTGGGGTCTTTGTGTCCTCTTGATTTATTCCATTCTTTAATTGAATACACTGGAGTTTCTAATATAGTTACTTTACAGCCTGGATAATTCTTAACAAATTCTATAATTTCTCTGCATTTCAAAATAATTTTATCAATTTCATCCCCATTATTAGAAGTAAGAGATATATACTGTTAATTTTTAGAAGTTAAGTTACAAGTGCCTAACCAAACATACAACCATATGTTGCCATGACGTTTTACCTTTTCTGTTATATTTCTTTTTAACCACTTTGTGCTATCTTCTATCTTTGCACCACTTTTTGACCACCGTATAATTTCTTTTTCGGTACTGTGTAATACAACCCTTTTCAGCCAGTTGCCTTTACTATCAGACAGCACAACTGGTACACAGCTTCTGTGACCTGTTGGCGGCTCTAATCTTTTAGAAATAAACTTTCTAAGTTTGTTTTCTGACATAATTCTATGAAATTTAATCAATACTTAATTTTGTAATGAGTAGGAATGATCTAGCACTGATGAAGGTTTTGTGGTTTCTGAGTCTGTAAGAAATAGAAATATAAGATGAAGAAATTGCAGTCAAGTTATACAAACGAAAATTAAAATGTTAATATTATATGATCACATTATATTATCTTATTGAGAATAAAATGTTTTCATTTTGAATGTAATAAATACCTGTGAAGGTAAGATTTCCTTCTTTTATATCAGCTAATATTTCTTGTTCAGTTAGTTCATAGATGTCCTCTTCACCCTCTGGATCTGATAGGGATTCACAATTTTCCCAATATTTTACCTATAAAATGTTGAATATATCATTAATGCTTACTTTAATACTGGATATAGGGAAATTTTTGCACCCCTTTCATTTTCGCCCCTTTCACCATACTAACATGTGGGCAAATTTAAAACGGGGCAAAATGTGAAAGGGTGAAAATAACCCGAGAGAGGGGGGGGGGGCACATTTAAACTTGCACAATTTAATGCACAACAGAAATTCAATTTAATGTGATGATCAATGAAAACAAAGTAAATTTACACTATATAAGCACACAGAATGGTTAATGCAAATATGAGGTGCACATGAACAGGACAGTGATTCAGTGCAACACTTAATGTTTTAACATTAATTGCATTATATTTAATTAATATGCATTAACAAAGGACACTGAACCACTCGCTCACCTTGGAAAGTACTATTAAGGTAGTAGCCACTGACATAAATCTTTTTTATTATATGTCAAGTAAGAGCTTGTAATGTTTTCTCATTATGATTTTATAGTTCGTATATAAGAAACTGCTCATACAATCAGACAGATGGGCATGATGATTATTTCTACCTAATCCGTCGTAAACTTTGTTTATAATACTGTCTACTTTACAACAGACATACAGGTACATACATATTTAGAAATATGCATATTCCAGACAAACTTTGATCACAGATACTTAAATTAATTAATAATTAATGTAAAATATAATTGTATTATAATCACCAAGCACCTTTTTTGTAGAAAAGAATGCAAGAAAAGATGCTGTTATGGTCCCCATACAAAAAAACTTAATACTTTAATTTAAAATATTGTTATAGGACAATATTAAATGGAAAGTGGGAAAAACACAAAATATATTCACATATATGTACTTTTAATATTCCATCCTTGTAGGAAACAATTTTTCCTTCCCACAGGGTGTCCTGACCCTGGTCTGTCCACTTGTGTTTAAAATGTTTCCCTATCATTTCCAGAGGTTTAAGGGTTGTCTCCTTCACAGATTCAGAAGTTCTTGTAATAGTTTTTTCCATTAAAGTGAGGAAATTAGTGGTAAGAGTTTCCAGTTCATGATTTTTTTTTTAATTTTTACTGAAGTATGTTTGATGTTTGTCTGAAGGATTTACAACAAAAACAGTTTTTAATAAATTAATTTGCTCTTTCCTGGCAGACAACTTTTCTTTTTTAGTAGGAAGTTTTTCTAATTCTTTTTGAACCCGATTCCTTTCACTCCATAGACCATGAGAATTAATTTTTTCAATAGCACAATTTAGTTGTTCTTCTTTCTTCTGGTTTTTCATAAATATGCATTTTTCTCTCTCTCTTATTGTAGATGTTTCTTGAATAAATTAGATTTTCTTTCCTTCACCTCTATTAAAACCTTTTTATTTCTTTTCCTGGCTTTTGTTATTAATGTTCTTCTTGAGATTTTGAATTAAGCCATTCAGGAGTTTTATTATTTTTGAACATGATGATGCCTTCCATTGTATTAACATTGTAGTTAGAGGCTTTGACAAGACTGGCATCTAATTTAGCCATAAGTCTTTCTACATTAATACTGTTTGGTGGACATGATTGGCTGTTTAAAAGAATATCTTTTGGTGGATCATAAAATTTACCACCAATTAAAAAATCCCTAAAAAGTTGGACACATTTATCTTTTAAAACAACACAGAGACACTCTAAAACATGAGACGTAGCGTCATCATTTACATGTGGTAAAAAAGATACGAGGAAACCTCATTATAAAGAGATGGTCCACAGAACAAGGATATTTTATTATGTAAAAGAAGATCAGGATTCTGGAGACACGTGTCAAGAAAGTCGACAACTCTTCTGTAGACACTCCCCATTTCAATTGCAGAATTCGAAACTTCTGCAGAATTCCAATATGGTTTGGTAAAAAGTACATTCAGAATTCCTAATGCACGTACAATACATAAAATACTGCTATCTGCAAGAGCTGTACAAATATAACTTTGAGTAAAATTTAAAGAACTCTTTGATCCTTTCAAGCACTGTAAAAGTTGCTAATGATAATAAAAAGTTCCTGCTGCATTATAAAACAGTGTATTAAATCTGTTTCTCCTACAATTCATAATTGGTACCGTTGAAAAATTTAATTTATCTTTCAAATGTGTTGGAGCATGTACTGGGTCACCACATCCATCTTTAAAAAACAACTTTGAAACGGAGCGCAACAAACACAGGGTTGCACTCTCATTCTTATTTATATCAAATTTGATTTTAAAATCTTTTTCTAATCTACAAATCTCTTTTTCACAAACATCTGAAAATTGCAAAAGGGGATGTACTGAGCATTTAAAAGAATTTATAACAGTATCATTATTGGAAATGCACTTTTTTTCATCCTCCAATATATTATTGACCTTTTGTTCTGTAGCACTCCTATCTGTCATAAAATTAGAAACATTTGACATTATATTAAAAGTGTCAATTTCAGAATCATGACAAGCATCAGTAAAAATTTCTTTAACACAACTAACATAAGTTTCTGCTTTGCCATCTACCACCTCCCTCAACCCAGCTGTAAAAGTTTTGTCATTTGTAGAAATTTCCACTCCATAATAATGCCTTCCTTTTTTGGTAGTAGCATCCCTATGAATCGTTATCTAAATTTTTTATTTGAGAAATAATATGACTACGACTTAAAATGCCTAGCTCACTTAGCTTTGCAGCTGTTGATGGATGTGGCAACTCTTCTATGTTCATATCAACAAGACTTAAAACTTCTTTAATAATCGGATTTATGTGTTGGACCGGAATATTCCGACTTCTAAATTCATACAAAATTTTTCTCAATTTAAAATCATAGGGATTGCCTCTACATTGGGGGTTTCTTAAATGTAATGTATTCTGCTTTTCATTGTCTTCAGAAGCCTGATCTTCCAAACTTGAATATAAATTTTCAATTTCTTCTTTCAGATCATTTATATATGATTTCAATGTGTTACACTAGGTGCCAATAGTAGATGTACTTATTCTTCTTTTCAAATTTATCTTTGGAAGACACATTCTCTTTTAATTTAACTCGGAGGCTGCTGATAGTGGCCTGCAATCTTTGAATAGTAAGTTTGTTTCTTTTTAATTTTTGATTCAGTACCTTTACTTTAGTATTTCTGACCTTTTTTGATAATTTCTTTTTACCTGTACGCAGCTAGTCACAACCAGCACAGGAATCGGAATCAATCTCTTTTTTAATTTTACTGTTGAACATTATCGATTTCTTTTCTTTTGAGAGATGGCAAAATGAATTCTGATTTTAATTTTTGTAAATACTTTTCCTTGTTGGCAAATTTACTAAGTTTTTTAATTTCATTTACAGTGTGCTTAGCTTTGGTGTGTAGGCTTTTTGGATTAATTAGTTCCTTTTCTATTTGAAGGAATTTACAAATTTCTTCATGAAATGCTATGGAATTTCCTTGTACTTTGTTGAATATGTTCTGAATGTCACTGTTTAAAATCATATTGGTGAGTCACAATTTGTTGTTAGAATAATATTTACCATATATACTGAAAACGATAAGTATAATTTTCCATATCTTAAAATAAAATATTTTATTATTATATATTTGTTATATAAGACAGGATTTTTGCATCCCTGATATGAACACAGGCACGCGGCCTTTAATACACACCCTGTATCAGCACCCTTTATTTCACCCTTTATCACACCCTGTAATACACCTTTCCGGAACATCTTTGTATTTTTCATTCGGAGTATTTCGGATCTTTTCCGCCTGGGAGCAGACGATAGTTAAGTAAACAATGGACAAACGAACACCAAGAGAGATTGAAATGGGGGACAGAGTTTTAGAATCGTTAGCAAGGAGCATTGGGGAACTAGATGAACTGATAGAATCAGAAAATTCAACAGAGAACTTTGTCATGAATATGCGGAACCCAAATACAGTACGGAAAACATCCACAGACGTAAACAAGATCCTAACCTGGTTACGAAGCAAAAATAGAAATCGAGACATTTGCGATATTCCTGCGGCGGAGTTAAATACCTATTTGGCCCAATTTTTTATGACAGTCACCAAGCAGAATGGCGAACAATATGAGCCTAATACTTTAAAATCCATCCAGTGTAGCATCAATCGTTTTTTAGCAGAGAAGGGTTCTAATCTAAACATCATCGAAGACAGAGAGTTTAAACATTCCCGGGATGTTCTACTATCGAAAAGGAAACTACTGCGACAACAAGGAAAAAGGAACAAGGATAGAAGAGCAGATCCTCTAACTCAGAATGAAATAGACATCCTGTATTCCAACAATTTTCTTGATGGAGGTATGTAACTTTTTTTCTGTTCGTCTTTTCTATTTTTAGAATAGGAAAACCCTTTCAAGAAACATAACTCATGCGTTTTGTTTCATAGCGAACCCGAAAGCCTTGAGCAATACGGTGTATCTTAACAATTCAATGTACTTTGGAATGCGGTCCAGAACAGAACACGTCAATCTTAGATGGGGAGATATTGAATTAAAGGAAACATCGACAGTTGAAAAGTTCTTAGAGCTTTCTGAAAGAGCAACAAAAACCCGCACAGGAGTGACTGGTGAAACAAGAGCATTTGCACCAAAAATGTTTGAAGAAAAAGGTAGGCCCCCATTTTGCATGTCTTATTCTGATTTTTTATATACTTGTAAATGATGAATTAGTAGTAAGAATTGAACACTGAAATCAATTTTTAAGGTAATCCAAGATGCCCAGTGAAGATGTATTTATTGTACAAGAGAAAAAGGCCCGACAAAATGCTAACTGAAGATTCACCTTTCTACATTGGCATAAATAGGAAACCGACTGGGGATTCGTGGTATATGTCACAACCCAATGAATCCATGGGTAAAAACACTCTAGGAAACATAATAAAGTTGATGTGTGAGGGAGCTGGTATACAAGGCCGAAAGGTAAATCACAGCGTAAGGAAAACCGCTATTACAACACTTGTACACGCAGGGATTCCGCCAACTCTAGTGCAGCAACATTCTGGCCATAAAAATATTGCCTCAATAAACAACTACAGCACTGCATCTATCAACCAACAAAAAGGTATGTCAGATCTACTGAGCAACTTTTCCAAGGGAAAAACAACGGATGCAGCAGAGGAAGTGAACGATGATCTTGGTGGGCTTGAAAATGTTCTCCAACAAATTGGGAACTATGAATTCAATAATGATATTATTAACAATATGTCTGCAAAAGGCTTATTCACCAGTTCCACCATTAATGGAAATGTAACAATCAATTTCTGTAAAGAGTAAACTGAAAACAAACAAACTTCACAGAGAAGAGTTGAAGCAATGTCCTGTCTTACTGTTAATGTTGTTAATTTAATTTTTACTTCATTAAATATGTTGTCAACATTATGTAGTTATTATTACTTTAATTTTTATTGGCCATTAAACTTGAAGTATTTTAAAAACAGATATACAACAAAAACAGATAAGAAATGCATATCTGTTTTAATTATGGGCAAATTTTGAAATTTTCTAATATATAATAAAAACAACATTACATGTACATGGCAAAATCTTCGGCCCTCGGGCTGATATTGGAGTCTCGGGTTGATATGGGGTGTGATACAGATTTTGCCATGTATTATTCTCTATATAATTCTGTAAATAGACTGAGAAAATAACTTTTTATCATAGATTCTCCAACTACATCTCATGGAAAACATGAAGGGAGAGAGGAGAAAGTGGCAGACAATGACATGATGAAAAAAAAACTTCTTAAAATGATGAATTTGTGCACAGAATGCAAACACATTAATTAATGGAATATTTATTAAATATAAATACCTTTTCAACATATATGGCACTGACACAGTCTGTCGATGCAAGTAAATATGCCTTCCCCACACAAAATAATTTTTTTTTACATAACTCACAATACAATCACAATATACCTGCACTTTATGATATAATTATAATTAAAGTTATTAATATCATTCATTGAAAAATAAATATTAATGTTTTAACTATAATTGTTATATGGTAACAATTGTTACAAATATCAATACTATTAATGTAACTCAGATTAGAAATATATTAATTACATATATATGTATTGTACCAATTTTTCTACACTTGCACGTCAAAATTACATGTGATATAATTGAAACAAACTATAAACAGCTGATTGCAAAGGTAATTATAACAACAAAAAAACACTTCAATATTTCAAAAAAAATGGTGACAAAAATTGCTTCATTTATATAACGTGATTTTTCACATAACCTTTGTAAACATTTCCCTAATTATTAATCGATGATGCAAGTTGAAACAAGCAGAAGAACATGAGCAAATAAATATTTTCTTGTGTCCTGCATTTTAGACATGTATTTTAAAAATTAATTTACATTTAATCTAATGAAATAAACGGTAAAAATATAACAGAATAATAACAAAAAATACCTACAGAAAACTAATTTCACTTATAAAGACAATGTCACATACCAGATAACGTCCTGTTTTACGAAACACGAACAACGAAGTGGCGCGTATTTCTGATTGCACGGACACACTCTTTAGGTCACAAGTTCCGCTGATTTGGAGTTATCGTTCTTTGCCTCCCCCTAGCGGTCAGTAGAAATGCTAGTTCATGCTGTCCAGGCTTGACAACAGCCACGTGTCTCCATTTGAATTTCTAACCCGATCGGAACAAAAAGTTATGCTCGGATACAAATTGAGAAGAAACTAAAGTATTTTGTTTTAATGCTGTGAATATTAATATGGGTAAAAATACCACTGAATGCAAACAATAATGAAGAAAGCTTTTTTTATATACATTATATATTTAGTACATGTAAACAATGTATTTTCATGCTTGCTAAAGGGTAAAATTACTTTTCTATTAATATGTAATTATGTCATATAAGATCGAAATATTGTTCTGAAAGATACTTATCAATACGAAGCTCTTAACTGCTCAACTCTGAAAAAGAAAGTAATGTGTGTAAAAACAATTTTGAGCCAATTTAAACTACTGGACCATATTTTAATTTATGATTTTTTTCCCCGCAGTTTTATGCATCGAGCTTTTCATTAATCTAGAGCAGTTAAATTAGGTTAGGCCAGCTTTAAATAATGTTTGATTGCCCTCTCAAAACTTATGATAAAAAATAGGGTAAGTAGGTAGTTGAAAAAGTTTTTTTTCCTAGAAAACTTCAACATCAATGCTGAATTTTCAAAATCTATCAAAATTTTCCAGAATGCAAATTATTTTGCTTCCTGGAGGTTAAAAAAGGTTTGATTTGGGTCATTTTTAGTCAGTCGATCAGAAGAGAGCAACCAAACAATTTTTCAAAGATGGCCTCAACTAAATGCAGTCAGCAATTTTAACATTTATATTCCCTTTCTATTTGGAGGTTTTGAAGAAAAAAAATTAGTTTGCCATCACTTTCACAGATAATGCTCCTGTAGATTATCTGAGTCAATTTAAATGAAATATCTTTAAAAAATAACCAATCAAATAATTATTTCATTGAATTTTAATGTTTATGATATTAAATAGAATATAATTGATTTCAAATCACCACAGAGACACATGTAACATATTTAACAAACACAGATGCACCATTTGTAGCAAAGTTTAAAATACAAAAAAAAAAAAAAAATCATATGTTTCAATCTTAGTTTTTAAGGTAGTGACAATAAAATTCAACTATAAAAAATATATTCAAAAATAAAATGTTTATGTCAGCTACAATGGAAAATTCAGATTGTTTAAGGAAATATAAAAAGTTCTCAAATATGTGTCATTCAGGGATATTATATATCATGAGGGGTTTCAAATGCGTCTGCAAATCAAATAATTGGATTCATGCTTCTTTTTATCACAATGATAAAACATTTTTTTAGGATATCTGATGGAACACATTAGAGTCTGCAGTGTAATTATCACAAAACATGAATGAGAACAGGTCATAGGAATGACATACTGGGTTCTCACTGGATAGCAATTTCTTGAAAAAAGGCATCTGAATCAAATATACATTGTATCATGAATGCCAGGGAATGTTATAGCTCTAAAAAATGTAAAATGTAGATCTACAATGACCTTGCATATTTGCCTTTTAATGATGAGAGTTCTATGGGCCACATCGCTCACATTGGTCGGAGAAAAGCAGAAATCAATGCAGTATTGAAAAGTTTAAATATATGTGGTCCCCCCACCCCACCAAGACTAATATAAGGGGCAGGGGAGGGAAACTTGACTTAAACAAAAATAAATTAACACTGACTTAGGTTGCTTCCATGTGAGCATAACAAACCATGACTTTTTTGTTTTTAAAAGTATTTTTCCTAAATTTGAATGCCAATTGTGCTGTTGAATCTACACTACCTGAGGAAGCTTCCATATAAATATGCCTAATTATGGCTTTGTTGTTCTTGAGAGGATAATTAAAGATTCATCCTTTAAGTTCCCATGTATAGCTTTGATTGCCAATTCTTGTCCCACTCTACTCCTGGGGGTCATGATTTGAACAAACTTAAACCTACATTATTAATAAAGCTTACATATAAGTATCATATTTTCTGGCCCAATACATGGTTGCATGATGAGATTTTAAAAGATGACATTATTTTTTTCTATCAATTCTTAATTATCTCCCTTGAAAAAGAGTGCGACCCTTCCTTTTAACAAACTTGAAACTCCTTCACCTAAGGCAGCCTTGTGGCAAGATTGAAACGATTCTTGAGAAGAATTTGAAAAGTGTACAGACAACAAAGGGATGATAAACACCCTTCAATCGGCAAAGTTTACTTGAGCTTTTGCCTCAGGTGACCTCGGAAATATTTTCATGCCATTTTCCTTACATATCTATCATATATTTGCAACTTCAAAATATGCTTGAAAAGCATGTACTTTTTCGTGGAAAACTTTAATATTTGTATGTTCATATGTATAATGTTTGAAGGAGCTGATAATACTAAGTTTTCAATTTTTCTTTCAGTAGCTTATAACCGGCTTAAATCAGTATACATGTAATAGGTTGTATAATGCCATGAGGTAGATTATTTTCTCAAAATACAAATTTTTAGATCTTCAGCTGACATACAAAATTATATTATTTAAAAAATTAAATAATACAGAACATTTATTAGCCATTTTAGTTAGGGCTGGGACGATACAACTTTTTCTATATCGATACGTATCACGATATTTGAGCCACGATACGATATGTATCACGATATGTGTATTTGGTTAAAAAATCTTCTTTTTGTATTGAAATGAACAAAATATTTCTTCACAAATAAGAATAATTTATTCATAGAAGTTGTATGTCTATTGTAAAACAAAATTATTTTACATAAGTTTGTTAATTATTATGTATTTCATTTTTGTATTTATATTAAGCATATTTATTTTATATATTAAACCCAAAATGTTAAGTAAAGAAAGAAAAACATATGTCTGAATTTTTTTTACGATATTTCGATATTTCTTCATTTGTATCGATATGCGTATCATTCACACACCGAATCGATATCTCGATATATCGTCCCAGCCCTAATTTTAGTATAATCATGCAATTCTACCATTCATTATGATCAAGGGAAACAAATAGGCTATTTACATCGGATCTCTTTCCAGCTAATGTTAATGATTTATTTCAACAATGACAAATCTAGGAATTTAAAAGAGATGGAGTTTATGCATAGAATGGAAATTTGACTAAAAAATATTTGACTTGCATAGCAATACAAATTATATTTTAGAAAAGCCCTGAAAAAATAATGAAAGGGGTGTCAAAGGTCATCTGTTGTTGCTTAAACATAATGCCTGAAAATCTCAAGGAGACCCTTCATTTTTTTTTCCTCTTTATAAATGCATGTTCAATATACACTTAAATATATATAAAATATATACAAGAGATGTATTGTTATATTCAACAACTTATGCAAAAATATTTAACATCAATTCATTTTCAAAAAGTTTTCAATCAAAAGTTGACAAAAATTTTAATGTTTTTCTTAAATAAGTATCTTAAGAAAGCCATTTCTTGTCTCAGAGCTAATTGTTCATAATCAGCCTCATGACACGATAACGCTTGATCTTCATCTTTGTCTTTTCACAACCATTTTCTACAAATATAAGAAAAACAAATTAATAAAACTATGGGCTGTAAGCTAGTACACCAGTGGTGGTGTACCCTTGTCAGGGTGGCATCTCCCTGCACAGAAGAATAATTCTTAGTGTTACTATTTGTTTGGGTTTTTACCTATTTAGTTTTAGATATATTCATTTCTAATGT